CTGGGGTGCAGGCCAGAGGTACCAGGGGTGAGAGGGGATTCACCAGAGACACTAGTGGGGAGCAGAACAGGCAGATCGACGAAGTACACTGCTGAGGGGAGCAGTGGGCGAGTCAGGAGAGGTCTGACGCGCCATGTGGTCACCTCCGGGACAGCCGGGGATCGAACTCATGCGGAAGTGACTTTAGCTTCTCAGTGCTGTGCTTTAACCTGCTGTGCCACCAGGGAGGGCCCAGAAAATGTGTTAACTTTTAAAAATAAATTTCACTCATGTGAAAGGTATTAACTCTGTGTTTCAGCATTGGTGGCAAAGTTCTCAGGTTGGAACAGGAAGTCTTTGGGGATTCTCCCAAAGGGAGAGAATTAAGTGAGCGATCATAAAGAAAAAAAACAAATAGACCTCTCTGTCTTCCAACAAAGCAATCTCTGGAAGTGGGAGAGGGAAAATGGATTCAGTATTTCAATACTAAGTTTATACTTACATCATGGAGTGGATAGGCAGATGAATACGTGTTAGAATTTAGCAGTCTTTCAATCCCAAACCTTTTCTTCCCATCTTCTATGCCAAACGGACACCGTGAGAGAATATAATAAACCTATTGGGTAACCATAAAGAGACACATCACAGAGATTTATACATTTCACATTTTTTAAAATCCCAATTTAAATCTGCTTGTTTACTTTGTATGTATGCAGAAATTGGAGCTGATTACAGTAACCTTCCCTTTGTTGTCTGGGAAAACATGTAGAGAGTAGGACTGTGTGGAGTCTGAAAGTAATTTATTTAACTCCTAGGTATGGGGATTTTTTAATTCTCTCATTAAGTGGTGGGCATGAGTGGATGAGAATTATATTTTTCCTTCTATCCCAAGCTCCTCTGGGAGTCCCTTGGCCAGAATTTCTACTATAATCTGGACTCTGAGATGGAATCTAATGTCATTGCTACTAACAGTTCAGATAGGAGAATGTGGAGTTTAATTCTTCCTCAATGAATTACTCTGTATAAGGGCTTTTCCTGCTATATCAATTTAACTGAAGGGTATCCTATTTCTACTGGCAACCAAGTTATGCTGTTATGTTGGGCTTGTGCTCTGTATCATTTGGACTTTGGTGTCCTCTATTTTTATATTTCTTGCAGTTCAATCTATCTGCTTTATAGATTGTTCCAACAGCTCTCTGCTTGCCCATGCTGAATTTGGGTTATTGAAATGTTTTAGATACATTTCCCTTCACCCCTTTTTATATTTCCTCTTTTAAGGAATTGTTGGAATGACTGTTGCCTTTGAATCATTATTATCTAACTTGTTTGTTCATTTTGAGGGCAGCTGAATATTCCATCTTGGTAAATAGACTATAAATTATACAAAGTAGTTTTAATTGTTTAAAGATTTATTTATTTACGCGTACAGATCTGGGGTGCAGGCCAGAGGTACCAGGGGTGAGAGGATTCTCAGAGACAGAGTGGGGAGCAGAACAGGCAGATCTTCAGAAATCCACCACAATGGCTTCAATAGCTTCTTAGTGCTGTGCTCTAACCTGGTTGTGCCACCAGGGAGGGCCCTAGTTTTAATTTTTACAAATAATGTGGTAATATTGACTGTTTTATATATTTTGGATTATTTCCTTAAAAAAAGTTCCACCAAAATAGGAACTCAGTTTTAGAATGTTAGCAAATAGTTATTTTTATGAGATATTAAGACTAAGAAGAATTATGGCAATAAATGCAGAATATTATTTTTAAATAACATAAATGCAGACTTAGGAAAGAATTTATTTGAAACTATTGTAGCAGAGGATAGGGAAGACATTGCAATAAGGAAATCTGCAAATATCTGAAAATCAGGCTTTACTTTTTTAGGGGAGAAATATGCCAACTTTAGGGAATGTCTTTCTTGTGTCAAGGATGGTTATTCTATGTATCAGTGTTGACTCAGGAAGAGGGTGTGCCACAGTTAAAGAAGTTTAACTAAAGTTTGACTAATAGAGCTAATAAGTCCTTTGCTTTGAGTCTTCAGAAAGAAAAGTACAACAACAAACCATTTATAAAACAAAGATGGGGTATATGGAAGACTGTGTCTGATATTTATTAACAGAAAGTACTAACAAATGGGAGAAACTGTAAGGATAAGTCCAGCTTTTAAAGAACCGAAATTCCTTGATGCCAAAGGGAAACAGACTTACTCGAACTCCTTTTCATATTTCCTTTAGAGAATTTGTCATAGTTTTTTTTAGACTTATTTATATATGCATACAAGAACTGGGGAGTCAGTGAGAGGATTCACCAGAGACAGAGTGGGGAGCAGAACAGAGGAATATACTGAAATACACTGCTGAGGGGAGCAGTGGGCTAGAAAGGAGAGGTCTGCTGTGCCATGTGGGTCACCTCCCTGGCTAGCATCGACCTCATGCTGCAGTGGCTGTGGATAGCTTTAGTGCTTTGCTTTAACCCACTGTGCCACCAGGGCGGGCCCTGTCACAGATTCTTTAAGTGGTTCAAATGGTCTTTGAAGCCTGCCTCATACCATCAAATACTTATCAAAATTTATGAAGAAACTCCTGCAGACACTGTATTGCACATCGACACATAAAAGAGGACACAGGCACAAACCCCTTACTCGTAGGGATATGCTCACAGGGTTTCTCTACCTACAATTCTGTTTCTTGATGAGGACGGGAAGAAACTCGACTTGTCTTCAATGAGGAAGAGTTCCTGCCGATGTCTGGTGAACTGGGCCGTAAAGTAATCTGGTTTAGGATACTTCACATTCCTTGGGAGCTTCACAGGCCCAAGCACATACTTAAATGGTATGTTATGGACTCGGGGAATATCACTCTCCTTAATAGGCATTTTCATTCCCAGCACTTCAGCGTAAGTAACTAATACCTCCCAAGGGGCATGGATCTTGACAAAATAAGTTTTCCCATCTTCAGAGTTCTGGATAAACAGAGAAAAAATAGCAGAAAGAATACTGATCTTATTATGGAGATAAAGTTTTATAACATCTCAAACAAATTAAATCCCACCACACTACCAGTATATTGAAAATTTTCAGTAAACTTTAAGACCAAATGCTCAAAATATGTATATGTCTGTGTGTGTGAGTGTGTGATGTTTGAATGTGTGTGGTAGAGACATATTTTCACTAGCCTGAAGCTTAGAGAGACCTTAGTGGTTCTTATCAATCTCTTATTTTTTTAGCAACTATGACTCATAACTGTGCTATATGAGTGATAGATAGACAGTATAAGACAGACTTATTCCCCTGGACCCAGAGGAAGAACTTTAGGTAATAAGGATTCATTACACAACAAAATTTTCAAAATTATTAAGGTATATACATTGTGTGGTAATACATATTTATTAGCTCAGTAAAACAGGGATAAATTAGAGCTATCAAACATTAATTTAGAACTAGAGTATTAGAGTTTTATGGACAAAATGAGATCAGAAAGAGATCTTATGAAACATTTAAAGAAAATTCTAGAAAACCAGTAAGTGGTAGGGGTTAAAAATGAAAAAGAATTTGAGATAAGGATGAGCATTAAACACATCTTGACTTAAGTAGCCAGCTATGCTGCAAGACAGTCAGGTTAACTAGTTAGGCTGTCAGAATTATAGGCAATCTTCTAAATGAGCCAGTTATGGAAATAAAGCCATGTCTTCACTGTGTCTGTATCCCAAATAGAATCGTAAGTCTATTTTAAAATCCTCCATTGAACATCTCATGTTCAGAGCACTTACTGGAACATCCTGGCCTTGCCTTCCCTAGGTACATATCTGTAGCCAAAGAGCTATTGTAATGTCACCAAACACAGAACCAGCCCGTCAAAGGCTAGAGCGGGACAAACCAACACTTCAATGAACAAGTCCTTTACCATTTTGTCTTCAATTTCCAATTCAAGACCTGTTTTTCTGAGATTTTGTTCAAACTCTTTTCTTCTCTCCTATGGAAAACAAAATATGATTATGTTGAACACGTTCATTTTCCTGGTGATAAGCAGACATGCTGTGTAGCGCCTGGGCCCCAGATGGCCCTCCGCTGCTACCCTGTAGGCTGTGAAGGTGCTCTCTGTAAGACTGACCCTTAATGCCAAGTCCCGCATTTCATCTGTACTAGAATTCACAAAAAATGGCTAACAATATATTACGACCTAGGAATAATTTCCAGGAAGTGCGCACGAACATGCCCCAAACTGCATTGAATAACAAACAAAAAATCAACTTGATAGAGACATACCGTATTCCTAACTGGAAAGTGTTACAGTTGTTAATAACAACATGGTCTAGAGGAGTGAAAGGTTGAGCTAGAGACTAAGATACTGAACAGAAGAGGTTAAATGCCAAAATAATCATCTATGGAAACTTTTGAGCTTACCAGTAATTTAAAAATAAGTATGGGTGGAAAAGTGATCGTGAACTAGGACCTAAAACTGTTGAGATGAGGGTGAACAATGGGAGATGGAGAAGAGCTATGGGTGTTTGGTGGAGAAAGGGTGATTCTAGCTGGGTGGGAGAGAGGCCCTATACTGTCAAAACACTGGCAAGAATGTAAATTAATGGTACTCCAATAATGGTAAAATAAAAAATAAAATAAAATAAAACTTTTGAGTAACAAAAGGAAAGACCCAGGGACACATTAATGACAGCAACAATGAAAGGTAATGATAACTACAATTATCATTAACTACAGTAATCGACAGTAAGATATAAGAGCAGGCATTGACCCATCTCCAGAAAAAGGTTTTGTAAGGAAAATATAACCACCACTTGAAAGGACAATTAGAGGAGGCAACAGACCGCAATATAAAACCATGTTTGAAGGGGGCATTCAGAAAAGAGAAGAAAATGCTTAGTGAATAGTGAAATGCAGACCTAGAAGGTGAAAGACTGGAAGAAAGGGACAGAAACAGATACATACAGGGCCTTAACAAGATAATATCTATAATTTTTTTCTAACTGTAAATATGTGTATATTTTAGCAAATATGTTAGCAAATGTGTATATATGTATATATGTTTACACTATATATTAATGCACTGACTTATTATTTCAAATATCTAATATTTAAAAGGCATTCATTATGCTCCAGCCACTTTTCTCAGCATTTGTATATTCAGTCACGAACGAGATAAAAATCCTTGGTCTTAGGCCCTAAATTCATGGTTCTGGGCACAGTAAGCAAGTAAAAAGAATAAAGACAGAACAACCACATCCAGAATGTGATATGTTATAATGAAAGTTAAGGAATAGATTTAATGTGAAGACCAAGATCATACAGATAATGTACATTTTCAAAATAAAAGTTGCATAGAAAGATAATTATATTCACGCCTATACCTCGAATTTTGAAGGTCACATTTAGTATCTAAATGTGAGCTATGTAAAAAAAACATCAGTTATTTGAAAAAAGAAAAACAGCTCATATCCAAACTGTACAAAACATAAAACTGACCACATTTCCGTTCTTAAGACTGTATTTTGTCGTTTTCTCAATTCAGTGTCAGTTTTCAAAAACATGTTAGAGGCCTCTGACTTTTGCAGTCTAACTTGATGGGAACATATATCAAACATGTGGAACAACAGAATGTGCTCCTTTTTTACTATTCCCCCTTTCCGATTGGAGGCTGCACTGTTACCAATAGGCTGATGACTCCAGGCCAGTGGCTGTCTATCTGAGTTTTTGTTGTCCTATCTGAAAAATTAGTAGATGAGGATAAACATGTAACATCCTAACTTGATCCAACAGAATAAAACTCGACACTTTGGAGGCAAAGTTTTTGAGACTTTTCTCAAAGGTATCGTTCCCATCTTTTTAGTTCATTTCTCATCTATAATGAGTGATAAGTACTTACCGACTTTACATCTGTTTCCTTTTTTACGTCATCAACATACGAAAGCACAAAATCAATCTGCCTAATTCCATCTCGGAAGAAGATAGAATCTTTGCTTTGTTCATCTTTTTTAAACTGCAGGAAACAAATGACACAACTTTACCCTATTGTTTTCTTTTTAAATGCCAAAAAAAAAAAAAGAAAGAAAGAAAGAAAAAAAGAAAGGAATTAATGCAATTTGGTTTCCATTCAATTTATTTTTTCAGTCCTGAAAAGATAAAGACAAATAACCAATATTTTCATTAAAGAAGGTTATGCTGTTTTAGAAAGTGAAATTTCATAAAAGTAATCTATGCTAAACAGTAAAGATTCAAGACAAATTAAGTATACAAACAACATGCTCATGCAACAAGAATGCTGAAGTTATACCAAAATATAAAATGAGTTTGTATATATATTGATTCCACAATGCATACCAGAGAGAAATTTGTTATCTTCATTACACAACATTTCATCCTACTAGTTATTAGTAGTAGTAGAACAAATTATTAGTAGTAGAACAAATAATTCACGGTCTATATAACACTCTGGGGTTAGAATTAATTGTAGGCCAATTAGTGAATCTTACATTAAGAAGATGAACTTATACTCAATAGTTACACTATGTTTTCATAAAATTGTCACTTTCTAATTCAACTTTAAAGTGTTAAAAAAATCAAAATGCATATAAAAATTTGAAAGCAGATGGCTTGCCAGCTGACTTTGCTACAAGTAAACTCTCATGCAAGTTTTCATTCAACATCAGTGTCCTTGGTGAGCCAAAATTATACATTTGTTTATGTTTGTATTATAAATTCAGCATATACTCAAACTTACAAATTCAACAACCACATATTGTATAGTTTGTTATCCTTCCCTTTTAAAAACTGCAAAACTATACTAGAAAGCTTCAAAAAGAAGGGGGTTCATGTTTGACTGATTTGGTCTTCATTGTTTATATATAATTTAATACTTGGAACAGCCCACATATCATGAATGATACAACTAATACTTCAGTGGATGTCAGTGATCTGTCTAGCTAAACCTACCATGCAGTTAGAATATATCCAACTTACTGACAGTTCTAATTAACTGGTGAATAGGGAAACAGTACGTTTATAATGTTCATAGCTGAGTCTCTTTTAGGGTACTTTAAAATAGGTTTTAACAAAATCAGGCCATAATAAGGAATGGTATAGATCAGTTATATACAAATATGACAAAAAATCTCGTGTCTGATCTGTTATCTCTGAAATAGAACTGCATTTTATCTACAAATGCATGGCCAATGTGTAACAGAAAGCAGCAGCTCCCAATGAACAGAGTGGGTGAGAAAATGGGCAAAGAAACAAAATAATTAGGGATTCTGGATATTAAATATCAAAACATATTAACTAAAATGTTATATCACTGTTCCTCAGCTATCTTCCCTTTTACTAAAAGAAAAAGAACTTAATCTCAAACTGTTATATTACAAATCACTTAAAACAAGAAAAAAAAATTATTTGAGCTATATAATCATCACAGTGTTATTCATCAAAACTTGTATTATATACTTCCCTTCTCCAGAAGGCCAAAGGCTACCTACACACGTGTGCACACGCGCGTGTGTGTTTGTGTGTGTGAGAGAGAAATAAGTTCCATAGCTTTAATCAGATCCAAAAACGACTTAAGAGTCGCCATTTTAAAGCCTCAATTGTCTAAGTAATAGGAACAAGTGACAAAGTCTCCCTCCCTCCCCAGCCCCAAATCAGTAGTATTCCTTGGAATGAAAGTAATTCAGGCTATCACTGCAGGCATCCAGAGCATAAGCAGCATCATTCCGCACTGGTTTTACCATAAGACGCCGCCTCAGGAACAAATTGTACCGGTTTGCAGGCTGTGAAGTAATCAATAGACAGTTAGCAAATCCCTCCCACACTTAAGGAAAGATTCCACAGAGTCAGACAGCAAACAGACAAATGCTCATGACGATCGCTTCTAGGAATGTGTATGTGTATGTTGTATAATTTTAAATTTGAAGTGTGGGAGTTAGCAAGAGGGAATGAAGAATGTAAGAATAAAATAATGAAGGAGGAAAAATGAAGACTTCATAATAAATCTCCTGAAATCCTTTATTTGGTAACTGTAGATATTACATACTTGTGGCAAGTAAGTAAAAAAGAAGACAGAGAGGAAAGTCATGAAGGGAACCATGGGAATAATGATAATGTAAAATAAAATATACATTCTATTAAGTGTATCTTTGTATCTCAAGCAAATAAAACAGCTGCTACAATTATACTAGAATTATGTATGGTATGGAAAATTTATCCAATGGTGTAAAATCATAGTCTCATCAAAAGATTGGGGGAAGAACTGAAAAGTCAATTTTTTACATGCTGAGTTGTTATAATCTTCAGTTACACTGGCCATTATTTTTAAAGCCAAGAAATTACTTAAAAAATATTTGGGAAAATAAAAAAAAATATTAAAAAAAATAAACCTATGGCTCAAAAAGCTTATTATCTATATTTTATAGTATAATCAAATGGCAATTTAATAAAGTTATCAACAAGAAATTCAGTCTATCAAGCAAAGTTTTGCTTTAAATATTGTTTTTCTGGAATAGGCTAAAGTGACCTGAACTACAAAATGGGAAAAAAATTGCACATCCCACATCTGACAAGTGGCAAAATATGCAACTTGACAATTTTCAAGCTGTATAGAGTACTTAGACAATCCAAAACAACAACAAAAAGAATTTTATGGACCATAAAAAAATTAGGCATAAGTTCAAAATAGATGTTTCTGTAAAGAAGACATCTTATTCAGATGGCCTATAGGCACATAAAAATTGTTCAAAATCACTTCTTATAAGGGAAATGCAAATGAAAACCACACGAGATATCACTTCACCCCTGTGAGAATGCTTACGTCAAAAAGGATAGAAACAAATGCTGACAAGGAAGTGGAGAAAAAGGAACAGCTCCTGCCCCCCATTGTTGATGAGATTACAACTTGTTGCTGCTTCTATGAAAATGGTATGGAGATAATTTTCAAAGGAAAATGGAAAATTCCATATGATCCAATACTTCTTCTAGGTATGTACCCAAAGAATATAAAACTCTAATACAAGACCTATGTAGTTCTATATTCAAAGAAGCATTGTCTATTATTGCCAAATAAAAAGTGAAATGCGAATTAGCATATACATGATGATTCTGTTCACATACTTGCAAAGGAAAATAAAATAACGAACAGGGTGAAACAACTAAAGACAACTTTTTGAAGTAACAGAAATCTGTATCTTCATTGCTGTTTTTTAAAGCTCATTACTGTACTCTTAAATTGGATGCGTTTCATTGTATGTAATATGTAAAAAATAAAGAGGATAATTCTTTGAAGATTTTGGTTTGCACACTTGGAAGGATAGATTATGTATAGCTGAGATATATAAGAATTCAGTAGAACATTTTTGTTCTTGAGGATGACGACAATTACACTTTAAATATATTAATCTTTAGATGTCCTTAAATGTCCAAATACATATAATGGGAAAGCACTTGGATATTTCAGCCTGAAATGCAGGCGTGATATCTATTTATTGATAGAAACTTAGAGTTTCAGTAAGAGCTGACAGTATATCAATGCTATATAAGACCATGGAACTGGATGAAATGAGATTACTAGGAGACTGAATTAAATGTCTGAGTTCTAGCACAATCTAAATATATACAAAGATCAATTATAAGTACTATGCTATATATACTGATGTTTCTGGTCCAGTTATTGAAAGGTAACTTCTGGCTAATTTGCATCCATATCATATAAATTGTTAAAATATGTGTAATATTATTCCTGAGGTTAATCAGATCTGCACTCCTTCGAAAACTGTTATTATTATGCTTGCTGTTATGAAATCATACCTTTAGTATTGCCTTTCCAATTGCCATTCCCTCATTAAACTCTGATACTTACCCTAAACACAAATGGTACTCTCACAGAAATTGGTGTACTTAGGTATAATTTTCTCTATTTCATTTAAATGTTTTAGTATCCTATATTTGCAATTTAAATAGCAATTTAGGTACTCAATCAAATCCACTCTTGCCAATTTTAAATAAAGTGTTAAATTGTGTTAATTATTTTATATTCATGGAGTCTCCTTAATAGTACAGTGGTAGGAACCACAAGATTTAATTTTTTTCAAAATGAAAAAGTCCAGTGATAATCTGTTGGATCTTTGCCCTGGCAAATCCCCTCCATCTTTTTCAAACCTGCTACTTCCTCATGAGGATGACTGTTATGTGTATATATAGATATATGTGTGTGTGTGTTTATATATACATATATACATATGCATATGTGTGTGTGTGTGTGTGTGTGAGAGAATTATATATCTAGTGAATATATATAGTATCTAATGGTTGCCTTGACTACTGGCTTCCCACAGGTGATTAAATGGAGAAAAAGTGAGTGATTTCCATCTTGAGGTTGGATTCAGTAAGACTGTAGCAAACTGAAGGGGAATTTGGCAATATATGTCATAATAACTTTTGCCTTTACTCTTTGCCACAGAAATCCTATTTAGAAATATATGAGTGACTCCAACTCATTTGCCTATCAATAAAGGGACCATATTAATGAACTACACTACTTCCCCAATAGAATATTATACAGCATACAGAAGATTAAGAGTGAAACCTACACACATATAGATGTAACTGCTCATGATATGTCTTTAAGTGAAAACCAAGGAACAACTCAGTATATGCAATATAAACCCACAACCCCACAATCTTCATTGTAGTGCACTAACATACACAACACACACACTGAAGACTAAAGGGTATGCTGGAAGGATAAACCAAGGATAATCCCACAGAAGGATTAAGATGAAATAGTTGTTTTTGTTGTTTCATAGTTTTAGCCAACAATAGATTTACTTTCCAGCTAATGAAGTTTAAGCTCTGGTGCTCTCTCCCTTGCACTGGCCATTCCAAGAAAATAGGAGGATTCCAGCAGTGTAGTCTCATAATCAAATGTTTGTCAAATTTGTAGATTATTATCCCATTATTCTTCTTAAAGAATGACACCAAGACAGCATAAGCTTTAGATGCCATTAAACCTCATTTGTTGTTATGGTTTTCAGGTGGGAATCACATAAATGTTTGATTTTAAATAACATAATGAAATAAATAAGAAAAAAACAACATTTATAAACTCACTATCTCACAATCTTCATTACAGAGCACCAAAAATTAGTGCCCTAGTGAAATGCAAAACACCATTAACATTAAAACCATCATATAAGAACAGAACTCTCTTTTCCATATTCCCTAACAGCAATCTTTTATTTGCTAAGCAAATAAAATCTTAAATCCCTTTACTTATCCTTTAATTGAAATTCAAATTCAAATTTAATTTTTATTATTTTTTAAAGATTTATTTATGTATTCATATAAACTGGGGTGCAGGCCAGACAGCAAGGAGTGGTGAGAGGATTCACCAGAGAGAGAGTGGGGAACAGAATAGGCAGACTGACAAAGTACACTGCTGAGCGGAGCAGTGGGCAAGACAGGAGAGGTCTGCTGCACCATGTGGGTCACCTCCAGGGCTAGGGATCGAACTTGCACTGAAGCGGCTGTGGCCAGCTTCTCACAGCTGCGCTCCAATCCCCTGCGCCACCAGAGAGGGCCCCAAATTTCATTTTAAAATAGTCTGTACCTCTTCCTGATTATTCCTATGTATGTACAGACTGATAAGAAGAATGATGCATGGAAACAGAATATTGAACAAAGCATCATAATCTTGCGTTCTAATCCAGTATCTGCTCCTTAAACATGACTAATTTTGGTGAAGTCATTAAATCAGTTATATTCTTCATATTCTCATTTGTAAAACAGAAATTCAAATGCAAGTGAAGTGTTTTTTTAATGAGTCATTCTCAATGAATGTCTCATTTTTTTCCCCATAAAAAGGTGCTTTCTTTTAGAATATATTCTTAAATTACCATGTATGAGGACCCAGAAATTAGCTAGAAAATTAAAGCAAGCATCACAATTACGGGCAAGAAAAAGGTACTCCATTTGTATCATGTAACAAGTGCAGTGCCGGTAGCTACTTACCAATTGTTCTTCAGAGATAAGAAAACTGGTCTCCCGGCTGCTCAAGCCCTGCCAGTTGCACCAAAGGGAAGACATAGTATTGTTAATCTCTGCTCAGCTGGGGAGCACATAATTTACAGCAACCACCAAAAATTATTCCAAATGTAGATCTGTTGTGTTCCGAGACAGGGTGAGTTCAGGATCCTCCTACACTGTCATCTCAAAACAATTTACCATATTTTTTTTTTCTTGTGGTGCCTGGTTACAAAAGCTACACATTTATTTTTTTTTTCCGTAGTCCTTGTTCACCAGTTTCTCAGTCTATTGGTTAGAGAGTGTAGGTTTTTCTTAACGCTTTATTTGTCTGTGTCTGGCAGCATTTCTTTATTGCTGGCTTCTTAGTATCCAGCTAACATATGCAGGAAGAGAAAGTCCAGGGAAAAACTTCATTTGAGCCCTGAGGTCACTAGTTGCTTTGCTTCTTTGCTCTAATTTTGTTATGTTTGTTTTTTATATAATATCTGGAAGTTTTTTTTTTTTTTTTTAATATACAATGTCCTTTTACTTAGCAAAAGGAGCAGGGAAGATTCTGTTCACTCTATCTTTCTAGAAGCAAACCTACTGTAACTTTGGAATTGATTAATCCAACAAAACAGTCACCTAAGAATCCGAAGCTTTATTGGCCATTCTTTATCTTTATTGAGTGTTGTTTTAACCTCAAAGTCTCTTATATTAAAAAATGATATACTAGTGATGGGAAACCCGTGGGGATTACAATTGAGATGAAAAAAAATGAGCAAAATGATGTAAAAATAAACTTTTTAATAAAAAAAATGATATACTAGATATAACTTTAGGGTGAGACTAAAAGGGCTTTGGTAGTATTAATTTCCTAGACCTGAGTCAATTCCCTTGTCATTTGCCTTCCTATAAAAGTAAAACTTAAAAAAGAACAAATTAAAATTACAACAAGTGATGTTTCTAAAATGATGTAGTTTAAATTTAATTAAATGTATTTCTGCTTGGCAAGCCAAACCTAAAACCTTAAAAATATGAGCCAATTTATTTTCAATGAAGACCTGAATTTGTAAGCAAGGAAGCAATAATATTCATTGCTCTGAAATGTGCAAAAGGGGTAAACTATAAATATAACTTGGTGAAGTTGTTTATCTGTTATAGTCTTTTAAACACAAAGTATATAAAAATATCAAAATAGACAACAAACAACAGATATGAACTATCAGTGAAGTTAATGTGACATTATTTATAAATATCTGTAAGAAGTATACTATGTCACTGTAAACAAAATGAAATGGTTATATATATTTACTATGATTTAGATAGGATTAAACAACTAATAGATAAAGCTATTCATTCCTCTCCAAATATGTCAACATCATCATCTCAATGTTTTAATTATCTTGATTAACTTAATGAATATATTCTCAGTGTCACATTATATCACTTTTGTTGTAGAAATTCTGCTTTTATGACTCTCATTTTCAAACTTTTACATCAGCAAGAAGTATCTAGGGTGCTTTTTAAAAATCAGACTTATTTAGCTTATCCCCTATAATACTAAACTATACATGAGTGTGGGTCCAAGAGTTTGTTAAGATATTCTTTATGTATTTCTAATTCAGGTGGTCTACAAATTACACTGTAAAAATGTCAAGGGGCTAGAGTTATTTTCATAGCCCCTGAATTCTCATACTACGTTTCTCTCAGCATAAAAAACGAACATTAAAAATGAACTTTTAAAAGAATCCTAGAACTTCTGAAAATACTCAACAGCTTATCCATAGTTTATCCACCTGACTAACACACAATCAATTTCCTACAATTTCTGGTAGGAAATCTCAGTGGTGGAAATTATAGTCATTCCTAAAAAGCTATTCTTTCTTTCTTTCTTTTTTTTTCTTGCTTGACTGAAGGCTTTATGGTCCATTAAAGGGAAATGTGTATATCTGCTTTTAGGCTTTTCACTCTGACTTCCGTTGTATTCGTGTGTTCTATGCCTAAGATTGCTCAGCTGCTGTTGTTATTGCTATTGCAACTGATTTGTTTTATTTTAGGATCAAGCTAGGTACTTTAATATAAAATCTTATTTTTAATTCCATCTCTGGCAATTCTTTTGGGATTCTTTGTTTTCATAATTGTACCTACAATGGAACCGTTATCCTAACGTTACCGAGATAAATCCTCCTACTCCAACATCACATGATCTTCTAAATCCTACCTTTCCCTTCCCAGGCTCGCTTGGCTCCTGCTCAGTGACCATGAGGAAGCCCAAAATGTTATTTAATATATATCTATATATATCTATATATCTATCTATATCTATCTATCTATCTATCTATCTATCTATCTATCTATCTATCTATCTATCTATCTATATATATGCTTACAGAACTGGGGTACAGGCCAGAGGTATGGTGGGTGAGCAGATTCACCAAAGACAGAGTGGAGAGCAGAACAGGCAGATATACTGAAATACACTGTTGAGGGGAGCAGCAGATGGGTCAGAAGAGGTCTGCTGCACCATTTGGGTCAGCCCTCTGGCCGGGGATGGAACTTGCTTCAGTGGCTTCAGAGAGCTTCATAATGTGGTGTTTTAACCCATTGCGCCACCAGGGAGAGCTCAAAAATGCTATTTTTAAAGGAACATTTTTTAATCTGGCTGTACACTTTTAGCCCCATTCAATGACATATCTCTTCCCTGAGTGCTGTACTGGGTCCACTGGGAAAAGATTATTTTATTTGAACTGCCATTACAATATTTGTAATCTGACATAAGAAATCTAAATTACTAGTACTTTTGTAAATTAATATCAATAAGGCCTTTGACTAATAGAATTTTATTTTTATCAAGTTGTATTTAAGTTTAATGTAATTAATTTAATGTAATTACTTAGTTTGGAACTCACTTGAACCCCAGCAAAGTCATCAGTAAGCACAAATTCCCTATTAATAACTATAATATAAAAAAAGCTGTCACATATTATACCTGCTTTACATTCTAGGAAATGTTAAGCCAAATATGATTATCATACATAGCTGAGCATTTCTTGTATAGCTCAGTATGTTTGAGTTACTTTCATAGGGAGCATCAAAACAAACTCAAATCACATTTGCTCTCTTTTAATATCTAGAAAGATCTGAATCAACATAAAACAAGTCTGCTTTACTTACGGAAAAATCAATTAACTTCCAGGACAAAGGAAGACATAATATTGTATGAATAAGAAACTGAAGTACAAAGACTTAACTCTACAGATGAAGTACATTTTTAAACTTAATATTTTTTGCTTGGATTCAGAGAAAGTAAATGTATATTTAACTTACCTCACTTATTTGAGAACTATAGTCTGTTTCTCTGATCTTTTTATCTAATTTAAAGAAAAGAGACATGTTAAAATGACCAAATAATCACAAATATTAAAAGTCTAACAAAGAAACTAGAAATTCAAAATCAAACAGAAATATTTAAAGAAAAAAACAAACAAAAAACTGGAAGAAAATGTCTAAGATCTTCCTGGAGCTAAATTGTTTAAAATAGTCTCCAGTCTCCAAAACAAGTCAGTACCAAAAACCTGCCTATAATATAGAGGGAAATCATCAAATACTGATGTATAGGACATAATCTCATCCACCAATGAATAAGTTTAACTTTGATAAAACTGTTAATCCATAGCCACAAAACTAGTGAGAGGAAAACATAGAATCTGAATGCCCACTGCTATCTTTTAGTTCTCCCTATGTGAGATTTAATACTTGTTAGAGTATTTTCCGGAATTGAATCAAACTGGTTGCAAATCAAGCACAACAGGGAATTAGCAGGGTCAACAATAAACACACATATTTTCATGGTAGTTATTATATGTAGAGTCATATGGACTGAAATGCCTCTTCAAATAAATTTGACCCCTGAAAATGTTAAATACAGACTTCATGTCCTTATTTTCTAAAGATAGCAATTTGGGAAGCATGGAGATATGCAAGTCTAAAACTTTCCAATTTTTTTTCCTTTTTTGCAGAAAATCACAATGGGATTACAATAAAAAAAAACTTCTGTCACATCAGGGTCATCCACAGTCACTATAATGTTAGGAAGCATTGCTATATATTCTGAAATTACAGAAAATATACACTTACCTTTTATATAGCTTTTTTTTTGTTATGATAGAATACATATAAAATTTACCATCTTAACCATTTTTAACTATACATTTCAAATATATTAAATACATACACAATGTGGATCAACCATCCACTACCCATCCCCAGAACACATTTCCTCTTCTAAAACTTAAATGCCATAGCCATTACCAACTCCTCTTTCTCCACTCTGCCAGCTCTGGGCAATCACCATGTTACTTTGTGTCTCTTGATTTTTACTATTCTGTACATATCACATTGGTAAGTGTGTGATCACATTTTGTTTATCCATCAGTCATTTACAGACAGTTATGTTGCTTCCACATTGTAGGTATTAATACTGCTTTCAACATAGATGTACAAATATCTCTCCAGGATCCATCTATCACATAGTTTGGGTGTATACCCAGAAATTTACTTGCTGGATCGGGTGGTAATTCTATTTTTAATTGTCTTAGTAACCACCATAATTTTTACACCGTGGCTATCTCTATCTACATTCCCTCCAGTGTTGAACAAGAGCTCCAAGTACCAAAATCAAGTTACTTATATATTTATTTTTGCTAGCAGTTACCCCAGCAGGTGTGAGGTGTTATCTTATTATAATCTTGGTTTGAATTTTCCTAATATCTTGAGTATTTTTTTCATATTCTTATTAGCCATTTGTGTATCTTATCTGTTGGATAAACATATTCAAGTCCTTTTCCCACTTATGAAAATGGGCTTATTCGTTTTTATTGTTAAATTTTAATGATTCTTTATATATTTTGGAATAGGTGCATGATTTGTAGGTATTTGTTCCCATGTGTGCCTTTTTACTTCTATCTTTTGTTATATAAATTGTTTAAATATTCATGAGGCCAATTTACCTATTTTTTTTTCTTTTCTGCTTGTGCTTTGGGTATTGCCTCCAAGAAACCACTGCGAAAGACAGTGTTGAAAAGACCATCTTAATCCCAGTGAGTGGTTTTGGCTCTTTTATAAAGAATAATTTGACCACATACGTGAGGGTTTATTTCTAAGCTCCTATTCTTTTCTGCCTGCCTTGTTTTTTGTCTTTATGCCAGCCATATTCTAGTTGATTACTATATCCTTGAAGTAAATTCTAATTGGAAAGTGTGATTCTTCCAGCTATGTTTTTTTTTTTTTTTTAAGATTTATTTATTTATGTTTACAGACCTGGGGTACAGGACAGAGGTGTGGGGTGGTGAGAGGATTCACCAGAGATAGAGTAGGGAACAAAACAGGCAGATCAACTGAGATACACTGCTGAGGGGAGCAGTGGGCGGGTCAGGTGATGTCTGCAGTGTCATGTGGGTCAGATGCTCCTTGGCCAGGGATGGAACTCATGTTGCAGTGGTGTCAGAGAGCTTCATAGTGTTGTTCTTAACCTGTTGCACCGCCAGGGAAAGCCCGCTATGTTATTTTTTAAGATCCATTACCATTTAAGGTCCCTAGGTTGCTAATATGAATTTTATGATGGGTCTTGCTATCTCCAAAGAACACTTAAGCACAAAAAAGGCAGAAACTATAACATTCGATTATATAAAGTTACATGTCCAAAATTAAGGGAATACGAATATTGTTAAGGATAAATTGTTGGGAAGTAATCTCCTTGAGACTCTCATATCTTGCAAGTGATACACTGACTACCATGCTCTGGATTATTTTTACAAGGATCTTGGTTGAGGAAACAGCCTTGGCAGATAAGATGTCTTCTGGAGCAAAGGGCAGGTGTGTTTATAGTCTTGGACTGTTAGAGTAGTGCTCCCTCCAGGCCTAACTAGTGACCAATGTATAGACTCAAGTTTCCTTAGCTAGATTGCTTTTTGTATTACAACCTACTGAATGTGCAGATAATATCTGGCCTTCTTTACATTGATATGTGAGACTGTAGGTGAAGAAAAAATTAGCACAAAATGCTGCTTTGGCTAGTGCTAATGCTGGGAGTAATAAACTATCCTTAGTCTCTGTTGCAGGTTTCCTTGGTCTTCTACCATTATCCATGACACTGTGTCACACACACATAGTAAAATCTCAGATCTTTCACCATTCTTAATACTTATCATCAATATAATATTAATGATAATGATGGTGATAATGGGTAATAATTGTGGATCTTATTAGGAAATTTGTAACATAATAAAGGAGATAGAGTAAAGTTGTGATAAATGTTCTAAAAGAGACAATCGAGAGAAAAAGCAGGTAAATCTCTGTGAGGAAGTAATAGGAGCTGAAATCTGAAAGTTGAGAGGATGCAAACCATATGAGAACTCACAAAGACTCTAAGACAGGAATTGTTGAGGTGTTCAAAGAAATGAATATCAAGCTAAGATGAATACATAAATAGAGTGGATATGATGTTGGAGTGCCACTGAGTGAGGCAGTTTGTGAATGTCTGGATTTTCTTTCTACACTAAATAGTAAGCCATGAGAGAGTCTTTAAAATGATATTTACATATTTTGTCTGACTTTACTTGGCTAGTAGCAAATGGATTGAAAAGAAAGTCAGAATAGAGGAAAAGACAAATTATGAGGCTGCTGCAATGAAGCACAGAGATGATGGTGAGTTGGGTTGAGCAGCAGTTGAGAAGACACAAAAAATAATCACAATATTTATGTAAAATTTGAAGCATTGCTGTTGTCCATGTTGAGGGATAATGAGAGGCTAAGACTTTCCTACACTTGAGCAATTGGAGAAGATTCCACTTCATGAGGCTGTGATTATTAATGGTGGATAAGTAATATAGCAGAGGCTGCCAGTGGCCCTGACAAGTCCTTCCTTCTTCATGTATTAAAAAAAAAAAAAACTTAATTAAAAAATATAGCAACAAAATGAAACACACACACAACACCCATATTTCCTATCCTTCCAGCTCCTTAGGAATATAAAATAAATTCAAAGCTTCCAAATATCATATAAAAGACAAAAAGTTCTCATTAAGTTTGTGCAATAAATGAGATAATACTTGTAAAAGTACTTCACACTCATTGGCACATAGGAGGTCAATTAATGGTATTAGTAGTTATTCTTGTTGACATTGTTATTATTATTAAGAGATAGTCAATTCTATTCATTTTAAAACTTAAATTACTTGGGATAACTTGTAGAGTGTTGGTGTGAAGACTACCTTTTTTTTTTTTTTTTACAGGAGGATCTGCTATTAAAAGTTAATAGCTATCATAAGCAATTCATGAAAACTAAGTGTAGCAGTAGCTATTTCACTTAGCTTTTCTTTGTGTGTTTTCCCATCTAAAAGATTCAAAATACAAGTTAAAATTATTAGGAAAGTATGAAACAGTACACATCACCATCATATAGAGTGCTCTCCATGAAAACATCTAGCTAGTGTGCAGTTCAAAACACTTCAATGACTTGACCATCTCTCATCAGATATTTGAATGAAAAGGAGACCAATGTAAAACATTCTTATAATGGATAGATAAGTAAGAGGATTCTAAGAAATACATCTTAGTCTTTCACTGTGTAGTTCTCAAGCACTGATTTACACAGGCTTTTATCTTCTTGCAGACAAAAGAGTCAACAATTATGCCAAGGAACTAAATATATTTCTAAGTATAGAGCATTAAGTACAAAGCCTTAAGCTAGGGTTAGAGTTTTCTGCAATTCTAGTTTTTAGAAAGTTTCATAACTTAAAACAGTAGTGACTCCTTTTCAAATTATTTTTGCTCAACCACTGGCTGAAAATACATTTCCAACTGTTATCAGAACTTGATACACTTCAGATGTGGAACAGGAACAAGATAGTTTCTCCAAATAATCATCTATTTCCATTCTAGTTCTCTCATACTGCTAATTCTGTGAGTACTGACTGTCCTCTGTCTCTCCAGGTATATTACAACTTCTACCCTTATCCATGACACTGTGGCAGGCTCCTGTCTAATCACCACACATAGAAAATCTCAGAAGTTCACAATTCTTGACAATGATCATTCATATAACACTAATGACAAAGATGGGTGACGATGTTTGTTGATCCTCTGTTAGGATATTTACAATACTATAAAGGAGAAGGATAAAAAACTATGATAAATACTGCAAAGGGGACAGAGGAGAAAGGGAAAGTCACCCTCAGTCTCACTTCTTTTCCCTAAGTTAAACTGTTTTCTTCCTCAGTGAAGAATTTCACATTATATCAGTTATGATGTACTATTTCAGGTGTCCTGAAACCTCCTCACCTGCCCCCTAGGCTGCTTCATAACTACCCGTTTCACCCTGAATGCAGCCCTCTCTGGGTACCTAGACCAAATATACCTCCTCCAGGAGGCTGTAAACTTTACCCAGCACTTTGTAAACAGTATCCGTTTCTGAAAAGCAGATCTATTTCCTCATGTCATGGTCCCGCTCCCACTTAATGCTTACTACCTCTGTCTCTCTCTCACAAGGCACTCATGTTCACACACTTTCACACTCATAGACACATAATCAACAAACCTCTATCACATCTGAAGATACAGGATTTGAAATTAACAAGCTAAATCAACTTTTTGTTATCTCACCAACTTTCTCTAAAACTAATGGAAATTACTACACTTTTTCTATAAGGGTTAATACCAATTACTGTAGAGAATCATAAGATTTAAGAACAAAGTAAAGTCATTCCAAAGACTGAGCTGGGAGTTCTCACTGAAACTACATTACTAAGAATATATACCCCAGCAAACCCACAGCACAAAAATAGCCCTCATATTTAACAAATGGTCTTCTCAGTTTACACTCCATCCAGCAGCATAAAAGATAGGCAATCAAATATTCATATTACTAAATGATGAGTGGTTTGGTTAAATTTAAATTTGCAAAAATGTAAATAACTTAAAATCTGCTGTTTTAATACTAAACTCTTAAAATGTAAACAACTGAATGTGTCATAATTCATGCCAAGAAAATTAATTTTTTAAATCAAAACTTCCTTATAATGTCAACCAGTCAATCGTGCAGCAACACTGATGTTTTATTAGCATTACTTACTTCTTACTTAAATATTTAAATGTTCTATTACATATTACTGCGATAGTAGGAAAATAATTGTGGGTCACTGGTTGCTTAAGAATTTAACTGTTAGTAAAATAAACTAAAAAAAACATTTTTAAAAAATCTTAGAAATGTCTTATTAACAAAATGTGTCTAAATGCAAAATGCTAATGTTTTCCTCTGGGGAAAAAATTGTATCATATGTAAAGCTAATGTTTAACTTGCTCCTATTTATTCTTCAAATGCAGTACAGAAAATATATAATAAAAAAGATCCAGGTTTATTGTAATGCTAAATTTACTCTAAGAAATTTATTTGTATTTTAAAATACAGAAATGAAAATTGGCTTGTAAAATTGATGCCGTGGAGCTCAATAATTTCAAGCTTCTTCAACCAACATTTTTGTTTTCAAAATTGTGTCATTAAACTCCAGGGGAAAAAAAAAACACATATTTATGACTAGGCTTCCAAAAATCCATTGATTGTTGATGTTAACAAATACATCCTCATTGCAATTCACTTTTCGTACAACCCGACTAAGAACACAGGTCTCAAGATGGGCAGTAAAATCAACCCAGCAAAATAAATGATTTAAGAAATATTTTGGGACCTCCCTGGTGGCGCAGCGGGTTAAAGCACAGCACTGAGAAGCTAAAGCCACTTGGGCAAGAGTTCGATTCCCCCCTGCCGCCGGCAGGTGATCCACATGGCGCTGCAGACCTCTCCTGACCCGCGCACCGCTCCCCTCAGCAGTATACTTCATAATCTGCCTGTTCGGCTCCCCACTCTGTCTCTGGTGAAGCCTCTCACCGCCCCCGCCCCTCTGGCCTATACCCCAGTTCTGTATGCATAAATAAATAAATCTTAAAAAAAAAAAAGAAACATTTTGAAAACTAAGTCACCTTAGTGACTTAGTGACTTAGGGGCCCTCTGTTTACTCCCTGCTTTCACCAAAGCCATACATTTTTTGCTGCTTGGGTTCTGGATCTATTATCAAAACAGGAAACAGGAATTTGGACAGATCCAACTATCAAATATATATTCCACACGTACACTGCTTCTATTAAAATGAGAGGAAAGGCTTTGTTCACAAGTGGGAATATAAATAAATGACACACACTTCTGCCACGAAAAAAAAAACTGCAATCATTTTGGGAAAAGTTCTAAACCTTCCTGAAGTATGACCTCATGCTTAAGTAATACTTAAGAATAAAAAGATTATCTTGCAGCTAAATTAGATCAAATTGGATCATATCAAATATGTGAGAGTAATGGTCAACTTTTGTAATGATATATTGATAAATGTTTTCTTCCTATAGATAGAAAGTTATATACTCCACACTTTTTCCTCCAATCTTTCCTTAGTGAAGAATTTCTGTAACTCAACATAACTTTACTTCAGAAGGATTGATAATAAGGAATGAATGAAAGTTTTAACTGAAAAAATCTGAGAACATCAGATTATCGAAATTACAGAGTAATTTTCTGCAAAGGAAGAAATCCAAGAAGTAGCACCTAGCAGATCCGGACACTGCTGGTCCACACTTCCAGAACCTGAGTTAGAGAGGCAAGCAGGGGTGGATGTGAGGACTGGCAGTGAGAAACCAGGGTGGGAGTCTGGGCTGCGGGCTCTTGACAACAGGATGAAAGCCGCGAACACAGCCACCATGCAGGGCCAAAACTTCTGCTGTCACAGGGCTGGGCCTCAACCCTGGAGCTCCTCAGATGTCTGAGGACTTCTAATTTTGTACATCTGAAAGTCATATGGCTCCTTTAGTACCACTGACTATTTTCTCTGTTAAATACATTTATTGATAAT